GCTGCGCAGGCAGGAGCAGGGACCTTCGAGTCCCGGAGCAGCAGCACAACCAGGAAAGGAGCCGGGACATCTCTGCTCCTGATTCCCTTTCCACCTCCTCCCTCCAGCTCCCAGGGCTGAGGAGGGGCCCTGGAGTTGCCAAAACCTCAAGCCCCCCCAGCAGCAATTGCCTCCCTCCCCGCAGCCCCGCACCGGCCAGGGGAGACACTGCCCCACTTTCAGACTTCAAAAACATCCAACCCACCACCAGCAGGATGGCTTTTTTCCCTGGTTTTTCTCTTTGAATCAGGGTCCATGTGTTTGACTCCCCCACTCCAAGAGTATTACCAATTAAGATATCAATTTAGATAAATCGGGGGATTGGAGCAGATTTGTACTGCCGTTGCATCAATTGGGCAAATATAGCTTGCTAGAGCACAGAGCCGTTAACGAGATTCTGTAATTTAGCTGTCCGAGGGAGCGAATTCCTGATTAAAAAAAGCAAAGCTGAAACCTCCCGAACGCCAGGAACGGTGGTGACACCGAGACCCAGGAAAGCCCCAGTCCCTGAGCCAGAATCACCGCTTGCTGCCCACGGACCCAGCAGCGCCCGCGGATCCGGCAGGTCGGAGCCCCTCGCAGCCACCGCTCCTCCCCGGGGGTTTGCTCTGCCTCCCGTCCCACGGAAACACACACCAGCGACACGGGCTGCTCTGCCTTCGGTCGGGTCCGACGTGCCGGCCACCTGCTTCGGCCGAAGACGGACGGACCGCAAACCCCACCACGGGGTACGAGGGCCGAGCGGTGCGGGATGCCGGAGCGATGGGCGTCAGCCGCAGCGATGGGGAAGGGCTTGCCCGTGCCCAGAGACGCCTCGTTCACCCCAAAAGATTGGAGCACCCCACGTTTCGAATCCCAGATGTGGCCCACAGCTGTGAAATGAGGTCACGCTGTCAAACAAGCTAGCGCTTCAAAACTGTGGGCTTAAACATGGCAGAAACCAGCCCTGGCTCCAGCCTGGCCAAACAAGGACCAGGCAATTTCACCGGAGGCGAGGGCAGCACCAGCCGCGGTGCGCGCAGCGGTACAGCTCAGCCTCCAGGCCGGCGAGCCGCTAAGCCCATGGTGGTGGCAGGACATGGCCTGGGGAAGGATTGCCAGGAACATTTGGCTTTTGACACTGAACAGTGGGAAGGAGCCGTGCTGCATCCTGCTGCGGAGGTGCTGCCCCGAACCAAGGGAGCCGTCCCGGTGAGGGTCTCCAGCCGTCCCGGCGAGGGGCTCCAGCCGGCACTGGCGCTGCACCTGCAGACCCAGCACCTGGGCAGCAAGGGGAGATGCATCTTCATCTGAATACATTATGTTCCTCGACAGAGACAAGCGATAGAGATATTAAACGTTATCAGCTACTGCTCTCAGGATTCATTTCGCGCTGGGTGATGAAGGCGGGAGATGAAAGGCTGTAGGATTTTATTACGCTGAATTTTCAGTTTGTCATTTCCCATCTACTCGATCAGGTGCCTTGGGACCAATTTGCGCTCAGCGGGATGGAGATGGATCTCCCCGGCAGGGCCACGCTAACTACATGCTACCTACTATGGTGGGTACACGTCTAGCACTGACCGCGGGCAAAGCAGCTCGCAGCCAACGCTGCCGAGCCCCAGCGCTCCGCTACGGAGCTGCCGGACCCCCACGCAACACCTCATGGGTAAAGCCTTCCAGAACAGCCCCAAACCAACCCAAAATATATATATATATATATATATATATGTGTGTGTGCATGCCTTGAGCTCAGGCTCCATCTTTGCAAGGGCAGCTAGGATCGGGGTCTCCCACGCTGAGCCCCCCCAGTGCAGAAAGCTCCAGAGCGCAGGAGCTGGAGCAGGGATTAAAGGGGAGCAGCAGCAGCAGCAGCAGCCAAGGGTCCCCAGGCACCGTGGGGCTGGGGGAGCTCGGGGCCAGAAAGCACCCCCCTGCAAGAAGCAAAGCACCAAGTCAGGGGTGGGGAAGAGAGGGGCACGCAGCTGAGCAAGGTGCCTAGCTCGTCTGGCTAGGGCTTTTTTGGTCAGTTGTTGGATTTTTGGATGGTTTTTGGTTTTTTTAAAACAAATGATCTGGAAGGGGAGGGGGGCGTAAACATTTCATTAATTGCATTCACAGGTAATTAAGCAACTGCATAAGCAGAGCCAGAGATGAAGATGCAGAAGGGCCTAAAGAAGGATAAAACCCAGAAAGAAATAAATGAGGTTTAACTGGGGCACCCACAAGCTAGGGTGGCCGAACTCGCTCCTGCATGGTGCAAGGGCACGCACCGGCAGCCTTGGGGAGACCACGAAGGGCAAGAGAGCTCACACCGGTGCCGGGGCCTGAAACACTCTTGGTTTGGGGGTGCCCAAGCAAGAGGCTGGCACAGCGGCGGCAGGCCAAGTACCCAAATGGGTATTTTCTGAATCTCATCACTACGGCCGTCAGAGCCGCGCAGGCTCCCCCCGAGACCGGGGCAGGACGGGCTCTGGAGCACCGGCTGCTCCAGCTCTTGGAGCAGAAGGAAGGAGAGGAGGAAGATGGAAGCAGCTCTCGCTCCCCAGCGGTGCTGCAGGACCTGGGGACGCGCTGGCCAGGCCATGCTCGTAAGGACGGGTAACTTCACACCGCCGGGGGGTCTGGCAGCAGGACCTGGCACCTGCAAACCCTGGATGCAATCTAGAAGCGCAGATCTTTCCAAATGCCGAGCCTGTTCCACACAACGAGCTCCCCAAACGAGAAGCCAGATGCGGACCAGTGACTTGGCTGCAATCCGGCAACTTTGGTGTGCTAGGGCATCTGCAGCGAGACCCCAGACCCAGCGAGGTGGGGGAGAGCCCGCGTTCAGGGCATCCCTTGGGCTGCACCACATACGGCGGCGAGCCCGGCAGCTCCCTGCTGGCAGGGAGAAGGCAACCGCCCGCACGCCGGGGCCGCAGTGCCGAAGCAAGCAAAGGATTTTGCCAGGGGAGCCGGCAGCGTGGCGGGGGGCAGCTGCTTTTCTGCAGTCTCCTTGGAGACCGCGACCGCTCCGCAAAGAAACCGCGCTCCTCCCGGCAGCGCCGCACGATGCCGGTGGGGCACGAGGGAGCGGGTGTCCCCCCCCCGCAACCGGCACCGGTGGCCGCTTTGCAGCCACCCCATGCCCTCCCTGCCGTGCAAGCATGCTGCTCGGCTCGCGGCGGCTCCCGTCCGCCCGGCGCTGACGCCAGAGAAACAGCGGGAGGGAGAAGCTAATCTGGGAAGTTATTCATAATTCAGTGTGTACAAAACAAGGCGGCATCCTAGGAGGGAGGAATTTCCAAATTACTGTTCCCACAGCAACCTGGGCTCTGCCCCTGCGCACACCGACAGCTCGGGGAGCCGTGGCACGCAGTGCCGTCACTCGGCAGCGCGGCCAGGCCAGCCCCGGCCGGCGCTCAGCGCATCGGTGCCGTTCGGGGAAAAAAAAAACCAGCCCTGGAAAAGGCAGCTTTCGCGTAATCCTGGGTGAAGGTTGGCTTCCTGCTCCCGGCTGGAAAGCCCTCCTCCCGCTCGCAGGTGGGAGCGCTCCTCGCCATCTCGAGAGGCGCTGGATGAGGAGGAGGATTCTGCTAGGAACAATGCAGGTGCTTGGCGGGGGTCTCAGCAGCTCTTGAGTGCATCAGCCATTGAGGGGGGGCGGGAATAAAAAGAAAGAAAGAAGAGGCAAGCAGATAAATCCCTGCCCTAAGGAGCTTTTGGATGGTTTCAGATCAGTTGCCGCCAGGCAAAGGCGGGCAGCACCTGGCTTCTGTGCCCACGCCGCAGGTCACAGCCCTGCCGGCACGTACCGGCTGCCCCCGTCACCACCCGCTCCGTGCAGAGAAAGGGGCACGGGGATCAAACCAGCATCCTGGCTCCCAGCCCAGCAGAGGTTTTTTGAGCGGAGGTGAAGGGGACTCAGCGTGCGACCCGCAGCCGCACAGCAGAGCTTATTTCGGGTGCTTTCATGTCACTGCCGAGCGCGGGGCTTGAGGTCCAGTACACGCCGGCTTGCAACATGCTTAAACCAAGCACAGCGGAGACCAAACTGTGCACGAACAATGCAGCGTTTTCCCGATGACTTCAGTCCCCAGCATTTCCCCATCAGATCCTGATACTGCAGGTCTCCAGAGTCACACCGGAGCATCCCTTTGAGCCGGAGGACAGGAGCCCGCTCCTCTCGGATGCAGGGAGGAAGGAGGGGAGCACCCCCTGACCCCAGCCAGCCCCACAGTGGAGGGCAGAGATGCTCGGGGGCTGCACGGCTGAGCACCTCGCTGAATGGCACAGCAGGGAAGAAAAGGAAAATCAAAGGGTTTTGCACGCTTTGCATAATCTCCAGCAGCCCTGCAGCCTCCTGTTTCTCCCCCCTCCAGCGATGGGCAAACATCAGGCTGCAGGGGAAGGGGAGGGCAGAGCTGCTGCTGCGCCGCTGAGCAAAGGAACAGCCCCAGCCCAAAGCCTGTGGGTGACAAAGGACCCGAGGATGCCGGGCAGCAGCTCCCCTGCTGCCTGTGTGTCCATCCACTGAGGGGCACGAGTCCGCAGCGACGGGGCACCCATCCACCTGCACAGCCCCAAGCAGCATCCCACCGTGCATCATCCACAGCCACACACCCTGGAAACGGGGCTCTTCTACCTCCCCAGAGCAGAGAACCACAATGGCACCGCAATACAGAGGGGGAAACTGAGGCAGGGAACGAGGGAGGCATCAGTCTCCCTGCAGCCATCAGAGTGCATGCTCAAACCTTCCCCAAAGCCCCTTGCATCCCGTGAGATGGGGCTCCCCCAAGAAGAAAAAGGGAGTGCTGAGTTGGGGCGGGGGTCAGGCCAGATGGAAGAGGAGCCTCATGGGGAAGGGACTCCATCCAGGGACGGTCACGGACGCCGGCGACTGCTGCCCATCAGAGAAGCTGCACCACTGGGGAGCAGAGCAGAGCACCCTCCCCATCTCACCCCACAGTCACGTCCCTGCCACGCGTCCCCACGGTCACCTGCGTGCTGTCCCCCTCCAGCCGGGGGGGTCGGATGCTGGACAGGTGAATGGTTTTGTGGTCCCCAGAGTTCAGCTTCACCACGATGGCGTCCGCGTTCAGCACCTGCATCACCTGTGGAGGGAGAGAGGCCGTGGTGAACACCATGCCCACAGACAGCACAAGCTCCGGAGCCGGGCACTGCCGCAACAATGCCCGGGCTCCGGCACACACCCCGACCCACCCCAGCTTCAGCCCCCAACAGGTATCACGGAGACAGTGGCTCCAACCCCATTCCCGGTGCCCGGTGGGTCACTGCGGCTCAGCAGTGCATCCGTGGTCCTGCTCCCCGAGCCCGAGGAGCTCAGCGCTGGTCAGAGCCCTGCGAGGTCCCCGGATGGTGATGCCGCGGCACACCAGCACATCGCCAGCTATGTGCCATCCCGTGCCGTGGCTCAGCCCCCCAGGGTTTCACTCCAGAAACAAAACCAGATAGGGGACTGGACCACAGGCACCGATACCAGATGACGGATGACCGCACGTAGAGGAGGGAGAGAGCACAGCCTGCAGCAAAGGCTCTTCCACCCGACAATTGTGCAACAGCGTGTCCTGGCTGGTGGTTCTCCATGCACCCAGGGAGCAAATTAATTAGAAAAACTGGTGGCAAAGGTAGGCAGGGCTGTGCAGGCAGGCGGAGGACAGCAGGGCTCAGGGCATGCTGTTTTAATCTCCTCAGTTTTCATTAAACACCATTCTCCAGTCCGGACGGAGCGGCAGCAAGCAGAGCAGGACAAGGTACCCAGGTATTGCCACTGGCAGGGCACAGACCTTCCCCTACCCGCTCCCAGCACAAACCCAGTCCCCCGAGTCATACCAGAGCAAAAGGTTCCCATTGTCGCTCATCCATGACAAGCCCAGGGAGCACAGCCCCAGGCATCCCCCCAGAGCTGAGCCAGAGCTGGGGGGGGGGGGGGGGGGGCGGGAAGCGGAGTGAGGAGGGCACACACTTGCTCCACTTACAGCACTTTTTGCCCCAGCAAGCACATCAGTCCCTCAAAACGTGCTTAGCCAGAGGGATAACAGGATTATAGGAATTAAAATTAAAGCAGACATCGAGGATTGCCAGGGCTCCTCTCGGCACAGCAAACCCCCCCGGGGGACGTCCCTACCTACTGACTCGGCCTCTCCTGGGACCCAGATCCTTTGCTTTTCATAGGCAGACCCGAGCCCAAAGCAGTTTGCATGCTAAGCGAAGTAATCAAATCTCATGCTTCAGGGCATCCTCGCCGCTGGAGGGGTCAGGATGGGACCCCAGCAGCGCATCGGGCATCTATCCCTTCCCTCTCGCAGAAGGCTTAGAAAAAGCAAGCCATGAAGACAAGATACTGCAGCCAGGGGAGCTGCAGGTCAGATCCAGGGGCAAATCCTGCGCCGCATTACACATCCATCACGCGCAACTCCGCACTTCCATGTCGGAGCTGCGGTCAGATCTCATTTGTTCTCTGGCAGGAGGCGGCAGCAGGGCAGGCTCCCGCTGGCAGGCAGCCGCCAGCTCCCGGCACAGCCGTGGTTTATGTGCAGGAGCCGGCAATTGGCACCAAGGACTCGCCAAGCCCCTCCAGCCCCCCCGAGCATCCCCTTCCCGGCAGAAATTAACTTGCAAGGACCTTCAGCCGGGCTGACCCAGCTGCGATGTGTCTCTGCGGGGACATGGGATGCTGCAGGACGTGGTACCCGGGGCAGGGGCACCCAGAGGCTGCAAGTCCCAGGCAGGACAGGGCAGGGTGGCAGCGGGAGCGGAGGGTGATCCCTGGGTGCCCACCTCTACCCTCCTCCAGCCAGGAGCTGTGGCCCCGGCTCGGCAGCATCGCCCCGTGCATAGAAGCAGCAGAAGGTGCTTTGCGGCCCCCTCCCCAGGGACCCCGCGGGCAGGAGGGGGGCACAACGGCAGCGAAACGGGAGACTCAGCACCGCCTCAGGGGCCATGCCATTTTTCTTGCTAACAATTTCTCAGCTTGCTGTGGCCAGCTCCCTTTATCCAGTATTTATTGTGGCTTCACCTGCCTCAAAAGGCACTTTGATAAATGGATTGAAAGGATTTTTTTTTATTACTTTTTTTTTTTTAAATCTCCACAGCTACTTCTTGCAGAGCCTGCATGCTCCACCAGCACTGCTTCCCCAAACCCCCCAGGACACAGCCTTCATCCCAAGCCCAGGCTCCTCCAGCCGGGTGCATGGATGGGAGGGCTGGGTGAAGCCCCTGCAAGCAGATGGGCTCCAGTGACCCACCGCTGAGCCCCCGCCAGGCTTCCCACCCTCGCCCCCATCACTGCTCCCCTGGGGCAAGAAGGTCAGAGCGGTGCCTTGTCGATATTTTTTTTGTGCGAGAAGTTTTTCTCACTGAGAGTGTTGATCCCAACAAGGTTTCCAATTTTCCACCCCAGCGCTTTGCTCGCCCTGCGCGCTTGCCCTCGCTATGGGCTTCGACCCAGCAGGACCCCTGTGGACCATGGGGCCATTCCCCCAGCTGCCACTGTGCCCCCCTGGGCAGCCCGCTCCTGTACTCCCTGCCCAGCAGTAACGAGCGCAGCTCGTTAGCTCTCCTGGGAAAGGGCTCCGGGACAGGCTGCTGCACAGGGAGCATCCCCAAAGCCAGGAGGGACCTCCTGCACCCTGACCTTGCAAGACAGGGACAGTGGCACTTTGGGAGGTGGTACCCAGCATCGAGAGAGGGGCCAGTGCTGCCCCCCCCCCGACCAGGAAACTGCTTTTTGAGGGGTTTTGGCAGGGTCTGGCGCTCAGCTCAGCAGGACAGCAGCTCCCAGGCTGGCTCTGGCAGATCCCACTGAGAGCTGAGATGATTTGGCCACGATGAAGGCTCCGAGCATTTTGCAAAGCAGGGGGGGAAAAAAAAAAAGAAAAAAAAAAATATACACAGGCCCAGCTCATCCACAACTGCCTCCTCCAACCTGCAAAGTGCTGGAGCCAGTGCATGGCAGGAACTAACACACAGCCCAGCCAGCGAGCCTGGATGCGGCCGAGGGGCTGCCCACGGAGCCCAGAGTGCCCCAGGCAAGCGGCTGCTCTCAACCTCACCCCCCCAGCCCTGAGGGGGCTGATCCTGCCCCACAGCGGGGAGATGGGACGACACAACATCGTACAGCCCTCTGAGCCCCACGTACAATAAACAGCTTTTGGCAGAGGATAGCTTTCAGCGTAATGTATTCAACTCTAAGCAGCGCTGTCCCAAATCCCTGGGTGCTCTAAGACAAGCTGACGTAGCGAATTCAGGAGAAAGCCTCCAGCCCCTTCAAATTTTTATTCCACCGCTTTTCTTCTTGCCACTCACAGGCATCAAATCCACAATTGAGGCCAAGCCTTAATTTCTCCCCAAACCAACCCCTCCGCTCAAAGCACCGGCAGCTGACCGCGACGGCATCAGGATCCAAAATTAGCCGGAGCTGATTTGCCGCGGTTGCTCAACAGTGCAAAGACAGGTTGGGATCTTCCTCCTCCTCCTCCTCACCCCGCCACCCCCTGGCAGCTCCTACGTCAGCTCTGCCGCTGCAAACGAGCACCTCGGCGTTCTGCCGAGCACGGAGGCGGCTTCAGCGCCCGAGCAATCGCTGCCTGCCCGCTGCCTGCCTGCCTGCGGGTGCTCAGACCCCTCTGCAGGGCACCGGGAGGACGGATGGGGGCTCACGGGGCTCCTCGGGGAGGCTGGGCATGTGCCCAGCTCTGGGTTCAGCTCCGGCACTCCAAGGCGTGCGGGCATTTGTCCTGATTTTCCCTGTCACTTACAATTCCCGGGAAGGGAAAAAGACCAAAAATTGACACTGCAAAACTGACGGTGCCTGGGGGGTGCTTCGGCTGACAGCTCCCTAAATGCTGATTTGCACGGGCCTGCATAAAGAGCAGGTTTTAACTGAAGGCAGAGAAATTCTGCATCATCTCCCCAGGAAGCAGGATGGCATCACGGCGCTTAACCGTGTTTGGGGGCTCTTACTGCAGAGCCAGGGCAGCCAAACTGTGCCGGAGCAGACTCCAGCCTGCGGCGAGCCAGGGGGCCGAGTGGTCCCAGCCTGGGGGGACCCCCAGCAGAGCGAGGGGCTGTGCCCAGAACCGGGGGGCCAACCTGCACGCTCTGCCCCAGGACCTTAAGCGGGATGCAGCCTGCACATCGGGGTCCCCTCCGCTCCACGGCACCAGGGGTGGATTCCCACCGCTCCTGGGGGGATGGCTGCCCCATGGCAACGCCTGGCACAAGGGCTGGAGATGCCGCCGGGCCCAAACCCACCGCAGGCACCTTTGCTGCTTTGCCAGGGGTGCTCGGGACAAGAGACCTGCCTGCTGCAGCTCTCCGCCAGCGTCCCAGCCTGCACACGAGACATTCAACAAAATAACGGCCATCTTTGAAATGCCAGGACCGTCCACCCACCCCCTCCACAAGCTGCTGAGCAAAGCATGACTAACGGCCCCCGTGCCGGCTCCTGGCGCGGGCTCCGGCAGCAGCCTCTGCCAGCGGCAGGATGGCACTTGCGAGCACGCCAGCGCCTTCGCACGGCCAGCCCCATGCCCGCAGGGGCATTTGCCCAGGTGTTGCTTTTCACTGCAATAGCAGCATCTCCAAACACAGTCCTTCTCCCCAGGGATGGACTCTCACCTCTGGACATCTCAGAGACCCTCTGGGCTGGGCACATGGGGCACGTTCATACGCCACTCGAAGAAGAAAAGCCCTGCAAACCCTTCAGCACCTGGGGAAGCCGGTGGGAATTTTGGGGGGACCTCCGCTACCGCTACTACCAGCCATATCTGAGCTGACAAACAGCCAGCTGCAGAGAAGGGCGCAATCTCAGAGTTAACACGCGAGCCAGCACCTCCCCAGCCTCATTCCGCAGGACCGGAGCTGCCGCACAGCTGCCGGTGACAGCACCGCGCGGATGAACTAATTAAGCCGGTTGCATCGCGTGGCTGAGACCAGACCAGCTGCGAGAGCTCCTGGCTCTGCCTTGCCCGGCAGCTCCAAAGCTCCCGCAGCCGGTGCCCGGCCAGGCGTGCTCTGCCCCGAGCCCTGCCGCCGGCCGCACCAGGACAGGCAGGGAAAGGAGCAGCCCGGCTCGCTCCTGTGCCCGCAGGCAGAGGTACCCGGGCACAAACCCGGTTTCCTTCGCAGCAGGGATGGAGCAGCTGGAAGGATGCTCCGGGGGCAGGATCTGACCCGGATGCGGGGCAGGGAGCACAGGCGTTAAGCTGACTTTCCAAGAAACCCAGCTGTTGCACATTTCCCAGGGTTTCCACCAGAACCGAAGGCCCCCCGGCTGCTGCGCTGGGTGAGCCGGCAGCACCATCTAGCGGGCTGCTCCCCCCCCCCGCCCCCCCACTCCCCGAACGGTGCCCAGATCCCCACATCCCACCGCGTCCCACCGCCACGCTCCCGGGTGAGATGCTCGTCCGCAGGGACACCCACCACCCAAAGGCAGGGGCAGCACCAGGTCAGCCCCACCGACCTTCCCCTCGCATCCTTCCTTTTGCATCGGCTACGCTCTCCGAACCGCGCCAGGGCAGGGGAGGCACGGTTTCCATACGGTGGGAACGCGGGCAGTGGGGGCATCCCGGGGGCTGCTCTGGTGTATGGGGCTAGCGGTCCCGGAGCTGGGCCAGCCACTGCAGGGAGGTGCCAGCCAGGGGGTCTGCCCCACGAACCCCCCACAGCTCCACACCAGCAACCCCCCGGGATCGGGGCAGGGGCTGCCGTGGGGCTGGTGCCTGGACACAGTGCTGGAAACGCAGGCAGGAGAAGGAAGGAAAACTCTGCTGAGGGCAAGCATCCCTCTGCAGGCAGGAAAGCGGCAGGCAGGGCAAGAGCATCTCTGCGGCACCCAGCCAGCCAGCAAACGAGGTCCCAGGGCACCCACCAGCCCTTCCCCACACACCCTGAGCCCTTCCCCTTCCCTCGTTTTGTTTCACCTCTTCCCACCCCAGGCCTGCCCGAGATCCCAGCCTGCGCCTGGATGGTCTCACACCGCGGTCCGTGGCAGGGATGTAGCAGAGGCAAAACCCTGCGGGGTCTGTCCCAGCACACGCAGAGTCCGGCACGGGCAGCCGGGCACCCTGCCCTCTGCCCCCACGCAGGCAGACCCTGCCAGCGCCTTCGCCTGCTCTGCCAGCCACTCACCTTGGCTACAAACTGCTTGTCCTTCTGATCCAGGTTTGCCGTGGGGGCCACGTAGTCCCTCCAGATCCTCAACTTGCGCTCTTTGGCGAACCTGGCGGGGGGGGATGGGGACGGGACAGGCGTGATGCCCGGGCTGGCGTCCCCAGTGGGGACGGACATGCCATACATTAAATTGTCCAGCAAAGCCCTGGCAGAGGCAGTGGGGCTGGCGCAGACTCACAAGGAGAGATCGCATCTACCTCCCACCCGGGAGAGCACCAGGGGTACCCACACGTGGGCGGGGAGAGGGGGCTGGAGTCACCCCAAGCACCCCACGGGTGCAGCTCGGAGCGTGCCCACCCCAGCCCCCAGCCCCACGGCTCCCGGCGTCCGACTCACCTCTCGGCCGCGCGCAGCTTGTCGGCGCCGCGGGTGTAGACGGCGATGGACCAGTCCACGCAACGGGCAAAGCCCTCCTTCAGCAAAAGCTCGGTGATGTTCCCATTCTGCGGAGAAGGGGAGGAGGGGCGCGCTCAGCTGCGGGGGGGACACATGCGGCATCGACATCTCCCCCCGCGCCCCCAAGGAGAGCTGGCCTCCCCCCCATCCCTGCCCCGCTGCGAGGGGAGCACCGCACTCGCCCTGCTCAGCCCCTTAGATGCCACAGGTCCCCAAAGAGCCCTGCAAGGCCTGGCCACGGCACCCGGTGCCCCCAGGGCTATTGGAGACCACCCCATGGGGCTCTGCTCTCCTCGCGGGCTGCTCAGATGGACCATGGTTTCCCACAGCCACCAGTAAAGAGCCCATGGCTCCCAGCTGCCCTGAGCCCTCACTGGAGGAGGCACCCGGACCTTGCAACCACCTTTAGCATCTTCAGCACGTGATGACCAACTGTCCGACAGCCCACCGGGACCCTCTCCCCACCCCTCGCCACCGCCGGCCCCACTTGCCGGGTGCAGGATGGTGCCCAGGATGTTCTGGTTGTGGCAGCTCTCCAGGACGATCTGCACGTCCCTCTGTAGCAGCCGCGACTCTGTGAAGAACTTCGCTTCGGCCGCAAATGGCTCGGGGACTTCGGGGGCGTCCGCCTCCCGCTTGAACGTGGGGCACTGCAGCAGAGGGGAGGGGACGGTCAGGGCACGGGCTGGCCCCTAAAAACCTCGGGAAGGGGGTGAGAAACCTCCTTGGGGAGGAAGGCTGCTCTGCCCTGTCCGCCCCAGGAACCCCCAGCCCAAGAGCCGTCCTCTGCGCCGGGTGGCCGAGCTCTCGGCTCCACGCACCAGCAGCCACCTCGACGGCAGCCCACGCCAGCAGAGCAAGGGACGACCACTCACCCAGCGACCAGGGGATCCTTGCAGGGGGTCCGACAGCCCAGAGCTGCGGGGCCTGGCAGCGCGGAGCTGGTACCCGCCTAACCCAAACCTCTTCCCATCCCCGTGGTGACACCCCGCACCGGCGCGCACGCAACCGCGGGCTGCAACCAGCCTGTTACTGGAGGGTGCACGCAGGATGACACGGCGGGCAACGAGGCAGCCGTACCCCTGCCTCCATCCCTCCCTGGATGGCAGCCGGGGCAGTTACCGGTACGCTTGCACCAGTGCCAAAAGGTGCCGAGGAGGATGCACGGTGAATGATGGTGCAAATTCAAGAAGGAACTCGCTGCGAAGAGGACTGCTGAGCATGCCTGCCAGGGACAGGGGACAGCGGCCAAGCCTCACCTTGATCCCCGAGAGCATGACGGTGACCAGGTAGTAATCGGGGAGGAGGAGGGCTCTCACCACACTGCCGTCCCGGACGTGCTCTATGATGGCTGCAGAGCAAAAGCAGAGAGGTCGGTCCTGCCGCGGAGGGGCTCGGCAGGAGCCGCGGAGCTGGAGACAGCTCTTTGCGGCCAGAGGGTGCCGGGAACAGCACCCAAACAGCACGGCGTGGGCAACCGGCCCCCGAGGCCGCGGGCAGGCAGGCAGCTGAGGATGGAGGACAGGGGCGACCGCAGCGCCCAGCAGCAAGGGCCAGAGTTGGTGCCAGCTTACCGTTGACTGGCTTCTGGTGCATGGAGTCGACGAAGTGCCGGGGGTTTTCAATTGTGTACTTGAGATCCCGGATGGTGTGAGAGCCCGTCCCCTCACTCCACATCCCCTTCTTGGCACTCTTGGCCTGCTCCTCCAGCTCCGCCAGCCTGCTCTGCTCGGGGCTGCAAGGACAGGACGAGTCGGGATGAGGACAGGACGAGTCGGGATGAGGACAGGCCCCGGGCAGGCGGGACGCTGCCAGTTCCTGCATGTTCCATCACCGGGAACATCCATCTTCCAGGCACTTCTCTGGATGCTTTAGTGAGATTTGATCACTTGCATCTAGAAAAGGCACTGCCTGGGTGAGTTGGTGAGCGATGCTTCGTGCTGCTGACAGCAACACACAGTAAATCAAATTAAGTTTCTCCGGCACCGCAGCACAGAGGCTGCGCCATCGATGTCCAAATACCCGCCACTGGAAGCACCATCTCTGATAGATTGGGGAGGTTTAGCCCAGGCAACCCTTTCAGAGGCTGCTTTTGCGCACTGCGATGAAAAGGCAGCCCCGAGGAGACGGGGCAGCAGCAGCCCCGATTCCCTGAGCAGCAAAGCGCACTTTGGGAGAGGAGGGACAGCAAACCCAGGTACGCAGCTTGCGTGCCGTGCCAAACCACGGACTGTCCCCAGTCCTGCACACACTGGCAGCCGCCAAAGGCAGAGTGCAGCAGCAGCCCCCTCCCAGCGCCAACAGCCAGCCCTGCCATGTGCTCTCATAACTTGTTAAATAAATTTGGCGATATTTGCGTTTTAGCATTCTTCAGCTCAGGGCAAAGCTGCAACCTGATGAATCCCAAATGCACTGCAGAAGCACCCAACTCAAGTAGCTGATGAGTGAGTAGCTCAGAGTCACCTCACGCACCCATTAATTAATGCACCCTTTGAATTAGGAGAGCAAACGTGGAGCAGCGATGCACTCGAGGCGATACTTAATTGCAGGAAGCTCAGCCCTGTGCTAACTGTGCTGCACCAGCCCCATCGCGCTGGTGACGGAGCTCATGGCAGCGGCATCACCCAGCCAGGGGGGCTGCATGTCCAGGTCCTGCACCGTCATCGCGGGGCTCAGGGTGACCGGCTTCACCGGGTGTCCTGCCCGCTGGGTGTGCTTGTGGGAGGGGGTTGAAGCAGCAGACCCCCGCAAGCCTGAAGCCACCAGAAGGTCCCTGTGGAGCTGCCCAGGTGCCCCCAGCACAAGCAGCAGACAACAGCACCCAACCTGCACCCCGATTTCCTTCCCTCTGGCACAACGGGCCAGTCCAGAAGCTCCTGAAAAGTCCTGGGCAGCTGCATTGCCATGCAACCGTCCTCCGATGGGATCAGCGGCACAGCTGCAGCCGACGTGCTCCTGCAGTGGAGCCAGGCGAGGGGGATTTGGTGGGGAAGGCTGGCTGGAAAGCAGGGACGAACACAGAGGAACCGAGCCACGGCTGCTCACGACCAGCCCTGTGCGGGCTCATGGTCCCCCTTTGGCTCAAGCCCCAGCAGGGTCCCAGGGGGACATTTCCAACGGGAAGCAGGAGAAAATCAGTGCAAAAACCCCAGCAGACTGGCAGGCAGAGGCTTTCCTCCTTCATTCCACCTCCGCAGCTCAAGAGCGATGCAGGAGGTGCAGAATCAGGACAGGGTGGTGAGAGCTGACTCCAGCTGAACCCCAATTCATCCTACCAACACCGCCGGTCCTCGCCAGGCTCCACCACCGGTGCTGCACCCACTCCCAGCAGCTCCTCGCCCCCGGCCCCAGCAGCCCTGCAAGCAGGCAGCTTCTGCAGGTCCTCCAGCACGGGCGCAGTGGCTTTCGCATCACTGCCCTGCAGCGGTCCCTGACCGTGCCAAAGCAGAGCCACTGACCTCTGCCGAGGGCATCCAGAGCCCACCAGCACCAGGCATAGAGCACGTTCCCCAAGGGCTTGGGACAGGGACTGTGTCCCCAGGCAGGCAGCAGGCAGGACCCGCTGGCACTTGAGGCTTCAGCACTGACAAGCCTGGGTATAAAATAACCAATCCACGCCCTTGGCAATGCACGCTCTCTTTACTCAACATACCTGTTTACAGGCTGCACTACCGAAAACACTGGGTGGAAAGCATCCAAGTGTGCCAGGAACAGTTTTAGGAAGCGACACGGGCAAGCTTCCAGCCCAGCAGGCGCGGGGATGGAAATAGCGTCCGACTGGTATTTATAGCAGTGACACAAAAACAACTCGCACCCCTGGAACAGGATAGCTGGTGCCCAGGGCCGTGCCGGGGGGTGCCAGCACACCGCAGTCAAGGCCAGGCTTCTCCCTTGCTCTGGGACGTGACAGGGTTGGGGCAAAGCATTGGCATCAGCTCCAATGGCACTGGCACAGGCAACGCACCACCCGGACATGGGACGAGGGGCAGGAACGTCACATCGCCTCTCTAGCATGAATTAAAGCACCTCGACTCCACGCCAGGAGTTACTTTCCAGCAACCAAGAGCTTCAGAAGATTTTCTGCTCTGCAGCCCAGGGCCACAGCTCTGGTCCTTCAGCATCCAGGGCAAGGAGACACCCAGCTCCCCCTCCCCAGCCCCTCACCACTCCAACCCTCAAGACAAGGGGTCACCGTGCTGGGACACCAAAGCCTGTGAAACCTGGGCACCGCAGAGAGCCCTGGAGCAGGGGCGGGTGGCTGGCCAAAGCCGAGGAACCCAAAGGCTCCATGCCCAGGTAAATAACAGCAGAGAACCGGCGCGACCGCTCAGCACAGGCTCACCGGGGCAGCGCAGGAACGCAGCCGCATACGTACTTGTTGGCTCGGATCCCTTCCCGGCGGGAAGCCAGCCCTTCGGCCACGAGGGACTCGGCAATGTTCTCGCCGCTCGTGTCTGCAGAGAGAGGAGAAGAGGAGTCAGCGAGACAAGCCACCAGCACGTGGGGCGGCCCAGAGGCACACAGACCTCGGTCCTGGCAAGCGCTCCCAAGACGATTCCAGCGAACCAGTGCCGGAGCAACCCGGGAGCGAAAGGCTCCCATCACTAGCCCGGTGTCCCAGCAGCACATGGGCTGCACGATGCATTGAGCAGAGGAGCACAGGGCTCTCCTGGGGACGGCATTTCCCCCGGATCAGAGCTAAGCAAGTGGGAAGGCGGCACATTGCTCCGATGCACCACTGGGCTGCAAGGCTTGCTGTCACCCAGGACCATCTCCGTGGGAAGGGGATGTCCCCAGCACCCAGGGGAGGCAGGCAATACCCTCCCAGCACCAAAGGGGCTCTCTGGATTTCCAATGAAGGCTGCGCTGCCAGCACAACCTGCAATGGGCGCCTCCACACAAGGCACCCTTCCTCCACAGAAAAATGGGGGTTTCACAGCTACCAGGAGCCAGAGCTCCCAGGGAGGCAGGGGACAAATGCCACAGTCCCGGGGGGGGAATCCCAGGCCTGGGAAAGCAGATAAACAGGAAGATTTGGGCAGAATCCCCCAGGAGAAACCCCTGACTGCCCACCCAGAAGGGAGGGTGCAGGGTTGCACAGCCCCAAGCAGCAGCGGGGGGTGGCTGGGGAGGGGGTGTAGGACACTGCCTGGACCCCCACTCTTCCCCAGCACCTTTGCTCCGGCTCAGCCACCACTGGCGAGTGATGGCAAGTGCCCACCCCTCAAAGCACCCACCACTCCAAAGCCCAGAGCCGCAGACAGCTGCTGCATCACTGCCAGGGAAACTGTCGCAGCGTTTCCATATTAATAGTATTTAAACCCTGACAAACTTCATCAGGAAACATTTTATGCTTCATTTCTCACCTCCACGGTATGACAGGCTGGGATTTAACAATAAGGACGACACCTACGTGGGAGGCACAGCACAAGAGTCCTTAACATGACAGACAACAAGGCTGCAGATGACTGAAAGGGAGCACTCCGCTGATCACAGTGTCACCAAACAACAAAACCCCTTTCAAGGTTTATTTGTTGCAGACCGCGACGTCAGGACCTGCCAGGCTTCCTGCTGAAGGATGGCCCAAAACTATGATCCCCGCCTCTGCAGGAGGGGATCCCCATCCCAAAGGGCTTCCCAGTTCCCCAGCCCACGAGCAAACTGGAAGCTCAGGAATGAGCATGAAGCTAACTTCGATATCCAGTTACTCGTGGTCTCGGGGGACAGGCTCATCCTGGCAGCACGTAGGACTCTGCTCCCCTTTCTTGCAGCCTGGGGACTGTGGGGGTCTCGCATTCCCACACTGGAGGAGGACCCCCGTAGGGATGCTGGCTGGAGCACGCCGGGATGCAGCGGCAGTGGGAAGCCAGCCCTGGGTCACCCTCAGTGACAAGGTGCTGGTGGGAAGGGGCTCCAGGCCGGGGTATTGCCCACCTCGGGCCACGCTGGCCCTGGCCACGTCCAGCTGAGCCTGAAAACCTCCGAGGAGAGAGCTCCAGCCCTCCTGCGGAGCTGCACGGCCACAAATCCACTCGCTGATCCTCTGCAGCGGCGAACCGGGAGCCATCAGCGATGCCGGGCTTTCTGGCTGTGCAGCGGAGCGAATGGCCGGCATTCTTCGTCCTGCCCAGGCAAAGGCACCGGCAACTCCTGCCACAGACCCAGAGGGACCATCTTCCCCCTCATCGCGGGCCACCTCCTTTCTCCCTGGGCCTCCACGCAGACCCTACTCGCTCCATTCGTGCCACGCTGCCTCGGGATGAGCCCCGTCTGTGGCGGTGAGCAAGTCCCAGCCGTTTGCTGTTCGAGCCAACCTCCCGCTTCCACCACAGGAAAGGCTCCGAGTGCCGCAGCGATGCCGGGGAGCATATTTGGAGACAAGGACTGCCTCACGGCACCCGCTCGCCCTCTCACCTTCCCCTTCTTGAAACCCGAGGGCAGGGGAAGTCCAACCAGGAGCTAAGCCCAGCAGAGCAGAGCGGTCCAGAAGCCAGCAGCAGGATACAGCCACCTCTAAGCCACTTTCACCGTTACTTTCACCAGACCAGGCGATGGCTGAGGGCTAACCATGGGGAGCAAGAGCCCAAAAACTCATCCACCAGCACGGCTGGAACCAAAAATCGGCCAGGGCTATTGGCAGAGGGGACGCAGCACCCAACAGAGTGCAGTCCAGTGTCATGCTCACCATGAAAGGGGACTTAACCGGAGCCAAAGCCCACCTGCACCAGCACCAAAAAAGCTGCCTGCCCCAAGCTACTCTGAGCCCCAGAGAGTGCTGCCTGCAGGCATCACGCAGCATTTGGGCTGAGCGGCTAGGCCGGGTTTTGCTCCTGGCACTCCACCGCATCCTCAGGGGCCACAGGTAAGCCGATTCCTTTTGGGAGACTTCAATCAGCCAGAGATAAGAAGAGATTTATAATGACAAAAAGGATGGCAAGGGGTAACCTGTGGGAATTCGCCTAATGCCATGGCTTGCGTCCATGTGCTGTGGTGCATCAACCAGCAGCTGCAGCTCCAGACAGCGCAGCCGTGCTCCGGCTCTGCACAACCCCACAGGCAGCCGGGACCGCTGCTGGCCATCATTCCCCTCCAAAAGCTGGAGCTCCATGGAAAACTGGACATGCATCCTTCTGCTGCCAACACCGCATCCCAACCCACCCTCTCAGACAGTAGCTCCGGCTGCGAGTGCCGCGCACTCCGCAAACCTCGCTGCGCGCTCCCCGCCAGGTCTTTAGGTGCCCGACGGAGCCCTTTGCACTCACCTTTACCCAGGTACACCATCCCGTACTCCCGGCCCTGCGGGGTCTTGTACTCCACGGTAAAGCAGACCTCCTTCCCGATCAGCTTCTTCCGCAGGAACTCGCGAGCCGGGAACCCCCAGGGCTGGAGAGAACGAAGTCGAGGTGAGACGATGGGTCAAACGTGGCCGGGAAAGCCCAGCTCCCCACCCCGGGGGACTCGCGCTCTCCTCCACATGTGCTGCATTAGCCCAGGACCGCACTGGAGGCTGTTTGCAGCCCACGAGCTTGCAGAGGAATCGACCCTGTCACTCTGCAGGAGAAACACCTCCACTCTTCCTCCCATCCTCCCAAAAGGGGTCACGGTTGGTTTTCCAGCCGGCCTCGTGCTCCCCAAGCACAGCCAGACCCATCCAGCTGAGCCCAGGAAAGCTCCTGGGGCAGAAGGAGCAGGGCTGGAGCTGGGTGACGCAGGGGGCTGGACCAGCCCCAGCTCCCAGGGACGCGGCGGGGGCTCCTCCGGCTCCTGCCCGTGGCGAAGGAGCAGAGCGGGACCGGCCGCTGCGGCCGGTCAGAGAAGGGGGCTCTCGCATCCCCCCCCCCGGCACCTCTCTGCACCGAGGCAGGAACGCACCGGAGCCCCGGCGAGCTCAGCCCCACTCCACCGCAGCGGGTGGGTGGGGAACGCGGTCCGGAGGAGAGAACATGACGTGCTCATAAACAATTAGCAAACCTGACAGGCATAATTTTTTAAAAGAGTGACATTTAAAGGCTGAAGCAGCGTTTGGAAGACAAACTCCCCAAGGAGAGCAATTAGCTGCCAGCGCTCTGCACCACCCCCAGGGCTGGGAGGATGGGTGGCCGTGGCTGGGCTTCCTCCGACAGAAAACCACTGCTCCCAACAGCTGCCGGCACAGGCAGCCCTGCCTGCACCAAAGCAATGCCCCCGTTGCCTCCTGTGCCCCCGGAGCAGGTAAAGCCCCGCAGAGGAAGCGTGGAGGGACCACCGGCTTCCCCTGGTCCCACAGACCCTGCCCAGCTGTGCCTGGTCCTCACCAGCAGACAATGCCCGCCCCGTCCTGGCCATGTTTGTGACCGTAACAGGGTGAGGAAGAAGAAATCCACCCCAAAATCCACACTGGGGGGCTGGAGCAGGGAAAGGATCCCTTAAAGGATGATTGAAGAGACTGTTTCATCCTGTAGCAACACTGGCAAGGAGGGAGCTGTCTGAGCCCCACGGGACGGCAGCAGCAGGTCTGGGAACGGGCAACGTCCCTTGCGATGGGCGAGCCGAGGGTGCTGTGGTCTGCAGTTGGGTCAACAGCCTGGAGACCCCCCCTCCCACCCCATCCAGCTCAACCCATGACCCTTGGGACGGGGGGGGGCTGCGCGGCACCGCTCGCAGGAGGCACCCACCTCATCCGGGGTGTCCTTGGCATCCGGCTGGCCCGCGGCGGCACGGCGGGCGAGGTTCCCGGCACGGATGTTGCTGAGGTTGATCTGGCGCTCGGGGGGCGGCCCACCTCGGGGCTGCCCGCGGACGATGATGGCACAGCCCGACAGCACCTGCGGGGAGGCAGAGGGGTTACGGGGGTCCCCCGGCCCCGGCGGCAGCAGCCGGCAAAGGAGAGCAAGGAAGGAAAGAAGGGACGGAGCTGAGCACGCAGGCAGGTGATGCTGCACGGACAGAGAGACTTCCAGGGATGGATCCTGCCACAGGTAGGACATGGGAAACTCAGCACCACAGGGCACAATTTCTCACGGGCACAGGTTTTCTGCTCGGGGATGCGGGATGGTGCCAAGCTCCGCACCCTGCGCCTTCACAGTGGTACCTGCCAAAGATCCCATCCCCTCCTTTGGAGCGCAGCACAACTGAATGCAGGGTGATCCCAGCATGGCGGATGACGCAAAGGACTGGGCAGATCGGGATTTTACTCCTGGTGCTGACAGATGGGTCAGATGAGCCCAACCGGGCCATCTCCCCAGGCTGCTTTGGCTGCTGAGCGCTCCAAGCCAGGAGCACCACTATGCTGGGCAGCCCCATCCCATCCCATTCCACCCACCTCCCAGGGCTCCAGCAGCCCCACTGCTCCCCGCTGCCACAGCAGGACTCCCGGATTTGGGAGGGCACCGTGCCCACAGCACTCCGAGGGGCTCCGCGCAGCTGCTGGCACGGCACAGGAGGATGCAGGCAGGGAAAAGCTGGCACCGGTGCTGCCCCAGGGAAGCCTCCAAGGACAGGGCACGCAGAGGGGGAACGTGCCTGCAGCCAGCCGGCCCAGAGGGATGTCGCTCTCGGCAAGAGGGCTTTAACCACCCGGGCTGCTCGGCACGGCCTCAGCGAGGCTTGCAGGAGCGCTGGGCGAGGACCACGCTCAGAGCAGATGCTTTTACCTACCACGATGCCAAGACCTTTACCGCGGGATCTGACCTGCTAGGAGCAAAGGGGCCACGGGCACCGGCGATGGGCAGTAACCTCCGCCAAGCAACTGCATCGAGGTTGGAAAAATAAACCCATACGGAAAAAACTGCTGGGAGAATCCCCAGAAATGAGAGAGACCCAAACTGGACCTCTCCTTCTCGCACCCAACTCAATTCCAGTAACCGGCACCACCTCACCCTGCAAAAACCCCCAGGTTTCTCAATGGCTCTGTCCCCATACAAGACCCCAAGCCACACACCCGCCAGCCACGGCGTCGGCAGGGCCGGCTCCGGCCGCCAAGCCAGGCTCCCGGCCAGGCAGAGCGAGCATGCCGAGGATCACCCTGTTCCCGTTTTAATCAGCATCGGCTCCCTGCAGGCGGGATTGATGTTGCCGAAGTGCTCACAGAAAACCTCCGGGTTGGATTTCAGCATGCGCCCTGGCTTGCTGCCAACCCGAAATCCCCACGGATGCTCACGGCGCATCCCAAAGCCAGAGGACTCGTACCCAGCGCCATCCCAGCGCCAGGGACACCGGCTCACACCAAGCCTCACTGAAACAAGCCCTGTCACACCGACCCCAAGGGTCTGGTCGTACCACAGCATCACGCTTGTTGCCCCACGCCACCTCTTGCGCGCCCGTGCCCACAGCAGAGACTGGTACGCTGCTCGAGCAGCTGGGAATCGAGCTTCAAATTAAGCCTGAGCTGTACACAGAGCAAACCCCTGGCAAAGGCTCAGTGCTTGATACTTAAGGACTTAGAGGTTTCATCGCTGTAATTAACCTTAATCTTTAATTTATAGGGCATGGGGAAACAAGTCAGATGCTGCAACTGTTTTATCCAATTACCAGTACAAACCCTGGATCCCAGGAAGGGGACAGGTTCATTAGCGGAGCTGGTCTGTGCTCCGTGGGTCCACATGGTGCTTTAGGGTGGGCATGCCACCCCCAGCACCGGACCACCCTGTGCCCCCGTCCCTGCCCATGGAGCAGCCACACGCACCTTTACGGGCAGCAGCTTCTGGCCGGGCTCCGACAGCGATGGGCCTGGGAGACCTTGCCACCACCCGAGCTTCACCCCCGCCAAAGCAGCCTGCCAGCCCAAGCCGTGCTCCTCCTCATTGGCAAAATTCAGGCCAGGCACCTCGTCGGAGAAAGCTGGGCTTAAACCAGGCTTAAACCGGGCTGCAAAAGCTGTAGTTAGTGCAGGCTGAGCCGAGAGAGCGACGGACGTGCCAAGGCCAGGGCACGGCACAGGGACACGATCCGGATGGACCCGGTTCCCACCGCAGAGGCAACCCCCACGCGTGGGAGAGGACGGCACCGGGGTCCTGCCGGCACAGCCGTCGGCCAGACCTTCACATCCAGAGCTGCAACTGCGGGGCACAAAGGGTTAACAGCCATCGCAGGAATGGGAAGGATGGGGAGAGGTGAAGGCAGGGTCCCCAGGCAGGGTCCCCAGGTGCTGGCAAGGAGAGGGGCAGCCCCCAGCTTTACCTGGAGACTCACGAACGCAGGGTCCCAGCTCAGCCCCAAGCCGGGGGCCCCCGTGCCACGCTGTGCCGCACCTCTCCGCTGGGACTCCGCGTCCTCCCCCAGCTCCTCAAGCCCCCCAAAAGGAAGGAGCCCGCTGCCGCCCCATCCCACCCCATGGGGCAGAACCTCAGCCGGGCTCATGGTGCCTCTTCCAGGTGGGGGGGTGGGCCCTGACCCCCATTGCCTCCCTGCTCCCCCATCCTGCTCTGCTGCGCCAGGACAAGCCCCCTCTCTGCTCCCAAACCCTGCGGTCCCGCTACAATTTCACAGGAAATGTGCATCGGGAAGGTGCAGAAAAAAAAACCACCCAAAACTTCCAAGTTCCAAAAGTTGTGATGGGAACCGCAGTGCAGCAGGTGGCCGGCACCACTCTGGCTGGCCCCGGCAACTCCTGGCTCCGCGGCACCACCACGAAGCAGAGCAGCGACCACAGAGAGCCAGGGACCCCCCCCACCTCTCCAGGGTGCCTCCTGGGCAGGGATTTTGGGCTGCCTGCCCCGGGAAGGGAAGGGGGACCATGGGGCACACTCCAGGCACCAGCACCCACCCTCCCCAGGCATGGGGGGGGTGCGTGTGGCCCCCAGGAGCCGGTGCCCACCGTGCATGGCTGCCTCGCGGCCAGCAGACACCAACCATCCTGTCCAAAATCACGCTACGGATCTGTGTCCCCACGGACAGAGATGGGACAGCACGAGCAGCCAGGTGAGTTTTTTTTCCCTGAGCATCCCAAAAATTGGCTCGTTGGGCATGAGACGGCACAGGGTGGCAGGAACGGTTCCCCACGCCACTGGTGAGCTAAAGCAGTGTCCCCAAACCTCCAGCATCCCCAAACCCGTCCCCACCGCCATAACGGGCTCCGGCGTGACATGGTGCCCCGAGCAAAGGTCTCGTTCGGATGGCAGCGGGTCACCTGCAACCTCAAGAAAAAACCTGTATTTGGGCACAAGAAAAACCAACGTCTGGGCAACAGGGTGACAAGGCACGGTGACAAGCGGCCCACGGGCTCGAAGGCAGGAGCCGGGACGGCGCTGGCACATGAGCCCGGCTCAACACCGACACGTGGAGAAGGGGGGGTCGGATCCAACCAAGCCAGTTGCCGCAAGCGGCACGGCCGGTGACAGCAGCCACTGGGGTGGGGTGGACAAATCCCCACCGGGCTGTGGGGGGGACACACGCGGCAGGTGACGGGGTGATGCAGAACAGGCACCGGGAGGGAACACGGGGACCCAATCCCAGCGGCAGCTGCCGGACCCCGACCTTCGCCCTCCAGGTCTCCGCTGCCGGCACACGTGGGGATCCGACATGGCGGGAGGGGGGGGTGTCAGGGACCCCGTCCCGCCGCTCCTTCCCGTGGGGGCACACCGGCGGCAGCGTGGGAAGAAGAGGAGGGAGAGGAGCAGGTGGGGGACCCCGAGGGACGCCCCAGCCGGCGGTGGGGCGTCCCCACGGGAGACGGGGTGCCACGGGGCTGCCGCCCACGCTGCCGGGGTATCCCGAGTTTCCTCGGGGCCGCGAGGGCTTCGGGGCCGGTAGCGGAGCGGGACCACCGGCTCCCGGTCAGCCCCGGCAGATACCGGGGGAACCGAAAGCTCTTCCTGCCCCATCCCGACAGCGGGGGTCGACAGCCGGGGGCGGCGGGGCCCTACGGCCACCGGG